AGGGTGACAAATATGAGGGTGAAAAATTTTATGGCGATACTGGGTTAGTTGCGATCTAGGATAAGAACCTGAACCCGGTACATTTTAAGGACGCCCATAACACACATAACACATCAAATGACTCAATACCCTCAGATTATGTGACTGAAATTTCGCTTGACCTCTGGTCAGGGAAAATCAGGTATTACCACAGCTTTGGACGAACTGCCCGGACTAGTTCCAGAGGAATTATCTGAAGAATTAGAGACATGAGTAATGGAATAGGTGCAATTGAATTCTTACCTCAGTTGAAACCAAGGTATCCACTTGCGCCTCCTATGCATTAATCTGATCATCTTGATTTGTTTCCTCTGGAATCTTTCCTATTCCTCAACCAATTCATGACCAGGCATAAAGTCTTAAAGCTCTATCCTGATATATCTTTTCATAGTAATTCTGATAAAATCTTCGTTATATCCATATGCGAAAGTAGGTTATTATAGGAATGGATCTTATCGCATGGGATGTATTTTTAGATATACAAAAGACCTCGAGATAGAAGCATAGGGGCAGTACGATATCGGGAAAATTCATGTTTTTTAACAATTGTAAAACGTATTGCGTCAATATTATAATTTGGAACGAAATAGATAGCTTGCAAAACATTTATAATGTTAAATTGACTTTAATAATCCGACTTATTCATATGAATATATTAATTTAAATAGTCGTCAAAGTTGTAACAATTTTTTTAATCTCTTCCTCATTGCGTAACTTTAGTGATTCAGTAACCACGAATTCACTTAGGCCAAGATCAATAAAAAAGAAATGGTTACTTTTTGGCTCAAAGAGAATATTTCTCTGTGCAATATCGTTATGCAAAACGCCATAACTATGTATTGATTCAAGTTGTTTAACTATTGTCTCCTTTTCTTCTATAGTAAGTACTGCCGGAACAATATGACGAGCATCTTCAATTAGCTGTAACGCCAATGCATAAAGATAACCGTCAAAAACATAACCTTCATAGAATAAATGTGGAATAGCATGTTCTAATATCAATATTGCAATATAAAACAAGTTAATATCTATAAATATTATGAATGAAAAAAAAGATTCATACCTTGGCATTTCTTTAAAATTGAGTATACATTTGCTTCGACTCTTAGAATTTCTTTCTTTTCTTTTTCCTTATACGCGTTACAAGTTTTCCAGGCTACTTCTTGACCATGATATTTGCCGGAGAAAACTTTTCCAAAAGTCCCACCACCTATATATTCATCTATAGTTGTGATTCCCTTGGAAGATGATGGAACTGCTCTCTTTTTACTGCCGGTCTGTTTCAAAGAACTCTTCCTATTCTTTGAAGGATAATAATCATCATCATTATCAGGAACATAATCATCGTCAACGTCATCGTTGTCATCGTCGTCATTATCAGTTGAAAATTTGTCAGACTCAACACGTCCTAATCTATTACCGACATTATCAGCAAGGGCAAGTTGGCTGATGTAATAAACGCATTCGCGTAAAGTTGGATTGATATCGTTAGGTCGAACAACACGGGTAGCATACAAATTGGTTGGACTAGCTTCTTCCCACTTAAGAAAGTATGTGTCGCTATAATTTGATAATATGCAGTAATGAAGGCCATTATAAGCCATTTTGCCAAACGCCTGTGATAAGATCCTTTTCTTAAATTTCATATTTGGATCCCTATTCCTTATCCGATCCCGGTCAACACTTCGATAAACGTCCCAGAGATTATAATCTCCTAAATGCAGATTTGACGCGTTTTCATTTCAACAGGCATTTTGGCCACTGTGAAATAATTAGTACATAAAACATGATCGGAAAGGTCCGAAAATCCAGGGGGTGTCGCACAAAATGTTGCTCCTTCTCCTTGTGCTGGTAATAATGCTTCGACAGGCGTCAAAACGTTATAATATAAACGAATTTTCGCGTCGTCTTCGACTCTGAGTAATCGCGAATTAGTTGCATGTAAAGGGAATTGTCCCCTTGGAAAGCCAAAACGTGTAATTCTGATACCTCGGAAGAATCCAGTCCATTCCCTCACGGTCTCTGGAAAGAGTGGGTAAACAGACAACGTTGAACTTGGATTAGGTAGATTTTGTGGGAGCCATTGGCAAACCGGAACGACGCGACTTAGTAATTGATCTGCTGTTTCAGTCATCTTTATGTTAACCAAACGCAAAGTAGAAGACTATTAGAAGAGTAAGAAAGAAACCTACCGTTCTTCAAATTTTCGATGAATAAAAATCACATTGTCGTCATACAACAGATCTGTGCGACATAAAAGTTTCACAAGCCGTTAAAAGTAGCAATTTGTTGACGAAGAATTATTGAGGTATTACGCATGAATGATATATATATTTTTCAGTCCATTTACAAAGAAAACGATTTCGATGCTTGCAAACTAATGACCACTTTTCGTACAGATTTATGAGGACCTTACTAGCATTACTGAATGAAAACAACATAAAATGTCAGTGAGTTTTACTAAGGTTAATGTCGTTCATTTATTTCTGACACTGCATATCTTGTATAAGTTATTCAGAATATCTATGATTAACCGGATTATGGAGTTAACGTATGGATAGTTAGTCAAATGAAAAAAACCGTATTAATCTATGTATTTCACAAGTCGAATCATGTATTTTATTTTTGTATTAATAAAGGACATATAATAGAATTATTTTTTGTGTGGCGTGGATATGTATAGAATAATGAAAATGTTATGTATGATTGAGAATTTTCTTTGCAAATTTTGGACGACCTAAATTTCTTTGATCAATATTGATCATATTGAATAGTTCACATCTTGACCTACCTATCACTATAAAAAACGTCACGCTTCACCAGTGAGATTTTTGGGATTAGATATCGTGAAATCGGATCGAAAAAAATTCACCAGAAGGTAATTACCTACGTGTTTGACGCAGCCTGATCGGTCCATTTATTTTATTTTATTTAATTATTTAAAAAATCATAAAGGTCAATTATTTTAATTAGGCAAATAAAGAGATTAGTATTAAAAATCAATTTTAAAAAAAATAAAATAAAATAAAAATTCAATTATTAAATGAATTCAAAAAAAAAAAAAATAAAATAAAAAACAAAAACAAAAATAATAATTCAATTGTTTCAATTTAAAAAAGATATTATTTAATTAGGTAATTAAAAAATTTTTTAAGAAAACTTGGTATTTCAAATTGGTTTAAATGGTTTTGACCTCTTATTAGAGAATATGTTAGTTGTATTCAGACAAGAGATATTGCCAATCTTAATACTTGGGCAAATTTTTTTCTGAAAGATCTAGAAAATTACAATCAAAAATAATTGAAAAACCATTTCAGTACATTAATACCTTTGATATCTGAAAATAATTGAATAGTTCTATTATCAAATAATTTAGATTTTGTATATTATTAGAATTAGTTTATAATAATTTATTAATAAAATAACTGATTCAATACGTAATATAAGAATCCAGTTAAAAAACTAAAAAAAATGTAAAGGAATAACTAGAGGTTCATGATATTATAAAGGATATAAATACTAAAAAGGGATTTGATAAAGAAATAGAAATAATAAAAACTAAAGATACTTTAGCA